GTAGGTGTTGGTACTGTAATAACCTGTCTGGTGGTAGGTGTTGGTACTGTAATAACCTGTCTGGTGGTAGGTGTTGGCACTGCAATAACCTGTCTGGTGGTAGGTGTTGGCACTGCAATAACCTGTCTGGTGGTAGGTGTTGGCACTGCATAACCTGTCTGGTGTAGGTGTTGGCTGTAATAACCTGTCTGGTGGTAGATGCTGGCACTGCAATAACCTGTCTGGTGGTAGGTGTTGGCACTGCAATAACCTGTCTGGTGGTAGGTGTTGGCACTGTAATAACCTGTCTGGTGGTAAATGTTGGCACTCTCGGCATTATTAGCAATTTATTGACCATGAGGGCAGACAGACAGAAACAATGAGGTTACAGAAAAAAGAACAAGTACTCACAAGTGGGCGAACATACGGCCATGTAGACAAGAATATGCACATGTAGACAAAAAATACGCACATGTGAAAGCAAAACGCGTTTATGACGATGTAAAATACGCACATGTAGACGAATTATACACATACGTCCACGAATTATACACACGTCGACGAAAATGTTCAAATGTCGATCTAAAATACCCAGGCGGAGGACGTTACGCGCGTACAACCTTGTGCACACATAAGCTCAGGCTCACATTAACCCCCGACTCCTATACGCATCACAACCCGGAAATAAAAGACTACTTCCTGTTGTATCAAAATAATTCAGGAGGTAAAAATAATAATAATAAACTAACAAAATCTTTTAAGTCCCTTTATCTTGTCACATTGTCTTTTCCTCTCTCTCTCTCTCTCTCTCTCTCTCTCTCTCTCTCTCTCTCTCTCTCTCAAAACAATTTTCATTCCTGGATACGCACATATGTAAACATGACCTGATATACTGTAGCGCTAAAATACACACATACAGTCTACATACATTTAAAAACCCACACATGCATACATACACACCAGAGCTTAAACACACACACACACACACACACACACACATACATATTAAATGACCAAAAAGAAAAATATTTTTCCTCTCCTTCCCTCTTCCCTTCCTCTCCTCCTCTTCCTCTTTTCCCCTACTTCCCTGTCCTCATTTCTCATCTTCCTTCCCTCCTCCTTTTCAACACCCCATTCTTCCTCCCACCCATTCATCTCCTATTCTTTCCCTCTTCCTTCTCTTCTACATCCGTTTCTCACACTTCTCTCTCTCCATCCTCTTCCCTCCCCTTCCTTCCTTCCTTCCTTCCTTCCTTCCTTCCTTCCTTCCCTCCTTCCTACCCAACACAGCAACAAAAAAAAATAAAAAAATAAAAATAACCCAGAAAAACCATAAGACAATCACATAAAAACGACCCCCAAAAAAATATTTATAATCCCAGTTACAGTCTGAGGCGTAGTAAATCCCACCGCAATATTAATTCATATATTCTAAACCGGGATTTTTTCCGAGTTCTGGAAGGGATTAAACAAGAGGGATTTTATTTCACATGAACTTGTACTGAATATATAGTGTGTTGTATAAGCCGGAACCTGTGAACCAGATGTGTGGCTCACCCTCTCTCTCTCTCTCTCTCTCTCTCCATCTAATCACAGAGAGAGAGAGAGAGAGAGAGAGAGAGAGAGAGAGAGAGAGAGAGAGAGATGAACTAACAATAAGCTTCAGATTCCACGAGGGGATAATAATTTCCCATCAAGTTACAGCTGTCCATCCGCTCCCCCCTCTCTGTCTGTCTGTCTCTCTGTTTATCCGCTCCCTCTCTGTCTGTCTGTCTCTCTTTATCCGCTCCCCCCTCTGTCTGTCTTCTCTCTGTCTACCTCCCCCCTCTGTCTGTCTGTCTCTCTCTCTGTCTGTCATCCGCTCCCCCTCTCTGTCTGTCTGCTCTCTCTCTGTCTATCCGCTCCCTCTCTGTCTGTCTGTCTGTCTCTCTCTCTGTCCTCCCCCCTCTCTGTCTGTCTGTCTCTCTCTGTCTATCCACCCCCCCTCTCTGTCTGTCTGTCTCTCTGTTTATCTCCCTCTCTGTCTGTCTGTCTCTCTCTGTCTATCCGCTCCCCTCTCTGTCTGTCTCTCTCTCTGTCTATCCGCTCCCTCTCTGTCTGTCTGTCTCTCTCTGTCTTCCCCCCCTCTCTGTCTGTCTGTCTCTCTCTGTCTATCCGCTCCTCTGTCTGTCTGTCTCTCTCTGTCTATCCGCTCCCCCCTCTGTCTGTCTGCTCTCTCTGTCTATCCGCTCCTCTCTGCTCTGTCTCTCTCTGTCTATCCCCCCCCCTCTCTGTCGTCTGTCTCTCTCTGTCATCCGCCCCCCTCTCTGTCTGTCTGTCTCTCTCTGTCTATCCCTCCCCCTCTGTCTGTCTGTCTCTCTCTGTCTATCCCCCCCTCTCTGTCTGTCTGTCTCTCTCTGTCTATCACCCCCCTCTCTGTCTGTCTGTCTCTCTCTGTCTATCCGTCTGTCCCGCGCTTCCTTTCTGTATTTCTCTTTTTCTGTCTCTCTGTCTCTCTCTCAGCTCGTATCAATACTACCTTGGTTTGGTTAGGTTAGGTTAGGTTAGGTTAGGTTAGGTTAGGTACATCATCCTGGTCGAGATATCCCAGTAACTCTCAAGACAGATCAGTGTGTGTGTGTGTGTGTTGAGTGGGGAGGGACACGGCCTCTGGTTCCTTGGCCTCAGTCTCTGGAGGTCACTATCTCCTTATTGGCCTCCACCCATTGATTTCTAACTCATCCTTATAATCATCTTCCTGAGTGTGTCTCTTCCTAAGGTCTCGTCACACACACACACACACACACACACACACACACACACACACACTTACCTCTACCGCGGTGATTTAATGAAGGTAAAAAATAAAAAATAAACACCCACATAACAAGACCAAGGCAACGATGACAACACTAATAGATTAATATGCGATGATCCGGGAGGCCGCCAGACAGTCACACACTCAGATGGTGGTGCGTGAACCAGCTGCGAGGTGGCGGCTCCCCTCACAGTGAATCATGACGGTGGTAAATACGAACACATTCTTATTTAACTAAAAGCATATATTTACAAGCATTTAGATATTTACGCATATATTTACAGGGATATTTACGCAATATTTTTACAGGTATTTAGATATTTACGCAATATTTTTACAGGTATTTAGATATCTACGCAATATATTTACAGGTATTTACATATTTACGCATATATTAACAGGTATTTACAGGTGTTTAGATATATAGATCCACCTGATGATTGAATACTCTAATATTACCTGGGGGTTGGGTTACTGTAGGTTAGGTTAAGGTGAAATAAGCTAGGGTGCTTAATTTCCATGCGGTCCAAATATACATACTTATAAAAATACATGTGTTGTGAGATTCATTCATTTCTTATGTGCAAATAGGGCAAAATACATACATACATACATACATACAAACAAGCATACATACATACATACATATACATTCTCATAAAGTGAAAATTGCTAAAGTTCACCCAGCACGTAAAGAATATGGGGATAAAGGTCTCTTCAAGAATTACCGCCCCATATCAGTCCTCCCACCCTGAAGTAAGATACTGGAGATGCTAACATGTAGTAGACTAAATTCCTTCTGCAGATTGCATTTACAGCTAGAAGGTCAACTTAGAGTGCCCTGCTGTCCTTCACTAATGATATCCTGAACTCCGTTGATGACAGTCACTTCACAGTCGACATATGCCTGGACCTTTCTAAAGCCTTTGATACTGTCGACCATACCTTCATCACCCTGTTAAAACTACAACATTACAGCGTTAGGGGCTTATCCCACAATTGGTTTACCTCATATCTGTTTAATAGGAAGCAGTATGCCTGCTATAGTAATCATTAATCTGAGTCCTCAACTATTTTGTATGGCGTCCCTCAAGGCTCCATTCTCGGTTCAGATCTGTTCTTGTTGTATATAAATTATATAGTCCACGCCAGCACACTCGTAAAATATAACGTATTTGTGGACGAAGGTAATTTCTATGCCAGCAACTCAGATCTCCATTCATGATGAGAACTATGAACACTGAATTGACTGAAGCCAGGACCTGGGTAAAACGCAATAAACTGACCTTAAACCTCGAAAAAAACCACTACATGATCTTTCACAAGAAAAAACTTAACCCAGATTTGGACCCCCTGTACCTTGGTAATACAATCCTCAAACGTGAACAAAATACTAAACTCATTGGGGTTATTGTTGATGAGAAACTTAGCTGGAGAAACCACATACAAGACATTCACTATAAAGTTAATAAACAGTGCGGTATCACACTCGACAGTCACTCACTCTCACAGCAATGAAAGAAATCTATTTTGATCTTGTTTACCAACACCTGATACATTGCCATACACTATGGGTGGGGGCCTCCGGCATTACTAAGATACAACACCCCTGACCCCTGGTCACTGCCCAGAAGAGAGTTGTGCGGACAATGACCTTCAAAATAAATAGTCCAGTTTGTTGTGTAATCTCGTTTTCTTTTTCTTTCAAACCTATACATTTTTTTAAACTAACAGAGTATAAACCACCATAAACCTTTGTTTTATTACCAGGTTCTCCAGGTTACAGCAAGTGTACATCATGAGTGACATGCACGAACTTGGATCCTACACTGCCAAAAAAACCTGGACATAAGAGAAGAAGCACCGTAATAGATGAGTCTGACCCATCTACTGCTGCATCTTCACCGCCGTTCACACGGTCGTGCACAGTGCCACTGGACAAGGACCGGTGCTTCTTCAGTCAGTAGGCCAGCAGTTGTTCAAAATGAGGACTGAAAACGTTGGTAAAGATATCAGAGACGCTGTAGAGATGACCCAAGATGCCCATTCAAAACAAGATTGAGCACATGACCCTGTGATACACACGCAATTTACATTATCTACCACAAACTGTGGACTAAACACCCTTTCCATGTTTTGCGAGACAGAAGCAGCACACACAGGGAACACGTTGCAAAGGGCCTGTCTGATTGAACTGATCAACCTCGTTGATGTATAAACTCAGAACCAAGTCCTACAAAAGAACCGAAGGAAACCAGCTGTCCTTTACTCTCCAGCTGCATGTGAGGAAGACCTGGTCCATTCTGCTGTCACAAGTGAGGGTGATGACATGACCAACATGAAAGCCATCTACAAAGCAGCACAGATGATACTCAAGTGCATTGCGGATTTCACCAAAGAAAAGTGGGCCAATGCCATACTAGTGTCTAACAGCATCAGCGATGTTCCAGCTGAACTATACACCTTGAGTCTCTGGATCATGGTGGAGCCTGTGGAGGAGATGGAAACCGAAAAAACAGAGACCAGTGTTGTCAACAGGACAGTACTCACGGTGAGCCAAAACATAATATATGGAATTAAGTCTAACAGGTGAAGCACAAAACCACCGATTCAGCAACTTTCAGGCAACACCATGCAAGACAAAACCCCAAGTCCTGGGATTGGCTCTGACTCTTCATCATGGCACAAGAAACAAAATGCTAATGGGTCTTTTCAGTACACGGGGTTACTGTGCCTCACATGCCGACAACCTGCTTCTAGAACGAGAATGTTCCAAGGCCTCTATGTTCAAAGGAAAGAAGAGCACCTTCGTCTTCTTTGCTGCAGACAACAGACTCTGCCGAAGACACTGCTATTGGTAAAGGGACCACTCATGGCACAATAACTCCAGTGTATCAGGAAGCTGACACTCCCAGAGTAATAATAGCCCCCAAAAAACCTTTCTTCTGGTTTGTGTTTTTATGGTTTTTCCCCACAATTTCACTTAAAAGAATAATTTATTTGTACTACACCATTGTCTATGCTGGAAAATTATAATTATTTTCGGGTCGTCAGCCATTGTAGCTGTAATCTTATTCTTCTCAAAGGGGTGAAAACAGCCACTCCCAGCGCGCGCGCACACACACACACACGCTGAGACGGATTGACAAGGGGTTTAGGTATTGCTAGAAATCAACAGCTTTCAATATGTTTCATCATACTTGCTCCTTTCTTGCTCAGAACAGTACAACATAACACACATTTCACCCTGGATGTCTTAAACCTTTCCTCTACTTCTTTAGAGTCAAAACTGTTTTCTGTCTACCTGACATTTTCAGTTCTGTTGATATTTAGCTCTTAATTTCCTACACACATCATGCGATTTTGTTTTCTAATGATATATTCAAACAAACATAAGACGATTTCCACCTACGACACCTTGGGCGCATTTTACCCATAACCGACATATCGGGTATTGACAATAAGAAAACTACTATAAAAATTTTAGTGGAGCAACTTACACCCACCCATCCCAGCAAAGACTAAGCTCCCTCCATTTAAATTATCTCGTCAAGGATATCTGTTGTTTAAGTATAAATATTTGTGTAACATTATTGTCCCACTGGAACCATTATATATTATATTGCAATGTTGACAAATCATCATTGCAATAATTATATATTTCATGGTCAAGACATGAACCCGACCGTGTGTGAGTCCCGTTGTTTCGTCTCAGCGCTACTGGTTGTATCGCTTCCACCCACTTGTCAGATTACTGTATACCAACTCTACTGTAATCATGTTTATATATATACTTAGAATATAAATGTAAAAAAAAAATCAATCAATCAATCAATAAAAAAAGTGCTAATCGTGGTAAGATCCTAATATGTTCTGTACCAACACCAGGTTACATGTTGTACTCCAGGTGATGTTATATAATAGTTCCTTGAGATAAATGTACGGTATACATCAGTTGGTTCAGCCATGTTAGTATTATTGTTACTGTCAACTATGTATCTGTACTTCTATGGCTAAATAAACGGTTTCATTGAAGGATGGACAGAAGGCAGGGAATAATAAGGGAGAAGGGAATAATAAGGGAGAAGGAAGGGAATAATAAGGGAGAAGGAAGGGAATAATAAGGGAGAAGAGAGTATGTGGTGAGGGAGGGTCAACTATGGAGTGTCACATGTGTGAGATGGAAGGTCATATGCGTGGGAGGGAAGGAGGGTCTGTGAAAGGGAGGAAGGGAAGGTCACATGTGTAGGAGTGAACAGGGAGGAGGAAGAGGAGGGCAGATGTGTGGGGAGGAGGCTGCTTTAACAATCTGAATTAATTACAAAAACATTTCTGTTGTCTTATAAAACAGTTACTATGACACACACACACATGTTGTTGACGTGTCATACTAAGGAGGTTGTTGTTGTTGTTGTTGTATTTGTTGTTGTTGTTGTTGTTGTTGTTAGTACGTGCCACATATATACTGTACTTGTTGAGTCTGCTGGTGGCGTGGTTGTAGTTGTTGCATCAGTCGCTAAAGTTGTTAGTTGTTCTTTGATGTTGTTATAGTATCGGGGGTTGTTTGTTACAGCGGCTGTGTTGTATCGATGTTGTGTGTTGTGGTGTGGTGTGTGTGTGTGTGTGTGTGTGTGTGTGTGTGTGTGTGTGTGTGTGTGTGTGTGTGTGTGTGTGTTTGTGTGTGTGTGTGTGTGTGTGTTAATCCTCCAACTGAACCAGTGAGTCACATTCCTCCATTTGCTTCTACCACCACCACTACTACCACTATCCTTCCTACCACCACCACTACTACTTTTTTTTTCACCACTACTACTACCACTAATCCTTCCTACCACCACCACCACTACTACTACTATCCTTCCTACCACCACCACTACCACTATCCTTCTACTACCACTATCCTTCCTACCACCACCACTCTACCACTATCCTTCCCACCACCACCACTACTACTATCCTTCCCACCACCACCACCACTACTACCACTATCCTTCCACCACCACCACTACTACCACTATCCTTCCTACCACCACTACACTCCACACTACTACCACTAATCCTTCCTACCACCACCACCACCACACTACTACCACTATCCTTCCTACCACCACCACTACCACTATCCTTCCTACCACCACCACTACTACCACTATCCTTCCTACCACCACCACTACTACCACTATCCTTCCTCCACCACCACTACTACCACTATCCTTCCTACCACCACCACCACCACTACTACCACTATCCTTCCCTACCACCACCACTACTACCACTATCCTTCCTACCACCACCACTACTACCACTATCCTTCCTACCACCACCACCACCACTACCTATCCTTCCTACCACCACCACCACCACTACTACCACTATCCTTCCTACCACCACCACTACTACCACTATCCTTCCTACCACCACCACCACCACCACCACCACTACCACAATCATCCTACCACCACCACTACTACCACTATCCTTCCCTACCACCACCACCACCACTACTCTACCACTATCCTTCCTACCACCACCACCACTACCACATCCTTCCTACCACCACCACCACCACCACTACCACTATCCTTCCTACCACCACCACTACTGCTACTATCCTTCCTACCACCACCACCACTACTACCACTATCCTTCCTACCACCACCACCACTACTACCACTATCCTTCCTACCATCACCACCACTACTACCACTATCCTTCCTACCACCACCACTACTACCACTATCCTTCCTACCACCACTACTACTACCACTATCCTTCCTACCATCACCACCACTACTACCACTATCCTTCCTACCACCACCACCACCACCACTACTACCACTATCCTTCCTACCACCACCACTACTACTATCCTTCCCACCACCACCACTACTACCACTATTCTTCCACCACCACCACCTACTACCACTATCCTTCCCACCACCACCACTACTACCACTATCCTTCCCACCACCACCACTACTACCACTATCCTTCCCACCACCACCACTACTACCACTATCCTTCCCACCACCACCACTACTACCACTATCCTTCTACCACCACTATCCTTCCTACCACCACCACCACTACCACTATCCTTCCATACACCACCACCACCACCACTATCCTTACTGTCACCACCACGACTCTTCCTACATACACCACCCTCAACCTCCACTACAACTATCGTTACCACCAGCTACCACAACTACACAATCCTTCTCCACGACCCCATCCTCTCTCCCAGCACCAGTCATTTAGCGTACGTCCTCTACACCTGTTCCCAGGTGAGTGCTCTCTCTCTCTCTCTCTCTCTCCACATACCATAACAGTGACCTCACACACACCATAACAGTGACCTACACACACCATAACAGTGACCTACACACACCATAACAGTGACCTACACACACCATAACAGTGACCTACACACACCATAACAGTGACCTCACACACACCATAACAGTGACCTACACACACCATAACAGTGACCTGCACATACTACACCAGTGACCTACACATACCAAAACAGTGACCTACACATACCAAAACAGTGACCTACACATACCATAACAGTGACCTACACATACCATAACAGTGACCTACACACACCATAGCAGTGACCTACACACTACCATAGCAGTGACCTACACATACTACAACAGTCACCTACACATACCATAACAGTGACCTACACACACCATAGCAGTGACCTACACACACATAACAGTGACCTACACACACCATAACAGTGACCTACACACACCATAACAGTGACCTACACACACCATAACAGTGACCTCACACACACCATAGCAGTGACCTACACATACCATAGCAGTGACCTACATACAACAGTCACCACATACCATAACAGTGACCTACACACACCATAGCAGTGACCTACACACACCATAACAGTGACCTACACATACCATAGCAGTGACCTACACATACCATAACAGTGACCTACACATACCATAGCAGTGACTTCACATACCATAGCAGTACCTATACATACCATAACAGTGACCTACACATACCATAGCAGTGACCTACACACACCATAACAGTGACCTACACATACCATAGCAGTGACCTCACACACACCATAACAGTGACCTACACACCATAACAGTGACCTACACACACCATAGCAGTGACCTACACATACCATAGATGACCTACACATACTACAACAGTCACCTACACATACCATAACAGTGACCTACACACCATAGCAGTGACCTACACACACCATAACAGTGACCACACATACCATAGCAGTGACCTACACATACCATAACAGTGACCTACACATACCATAGCAGTGACCTACACATACCATAGCAGTTACCTATACATACCATAACAGTGACCTACACATACCATAACAGTGACCTACACACACCATAGCAGTGACCTACATACCATAACAGTGACCTACACATACCATAACAGTGACCTACACATACCATAGCAGTTACCTATACATACCATAACAGTGACCTACACCTATAACAGTGACCTACACACACCATAGCAGTGACCTACACATACCATAACAGTGACCTACACAAACCAGCAGTGACCTACACATACCATAGCAGTGACCTACACATGCCATAACGGTGACCTACACATACCATAAGTGACCTACACATACCAAAACAGTGACCTACACATCAACAGTGACCTACATACCATAACAGTGACCTACACATACCATAAGTGACCTACACTTACCATAAGTGACCTGCACATACCATAACAGTGACCTGCACATACCATAACAGTGCCCTACACATACCATAACAATGACCTACACACACCAACAGTGACCTACACATCAACAGTGACCTACACATACCATAAGTGACCTCCACATACCATAACAGTGACCTGCACATAACATGTTAGATTAGGTTAGGTTAGGTTAGGTTAGGTTTGCGTTAGCTGAGGCTAGTTTAAGTATAAGCTAGCGCTGGATTAGATTAGCGTAAGGTTAGGTTAGCGTTAGGTTGGTTTAATGTTAGACTAGGTTAAGTTAACGTTGAGCAAGGTTAGGTTAACGTTTGGTTAGGTTAAGTTTAGGCAAGATTAGGTTAATTTTAGATAAAGTTACGTTAGGTTAAGTTTAAGTTAAGGTTGGGTTGGTTAGGTCAGCGTTAAATTAGGTTCGGTTAGTTTAACATTAGGGCGGTCAACCTTCAGATAAAATAAGCTAAGACCCTAAGCGAATCTCCAGGTAAAGCTATAATTGTCTCCAAACATTGACCACTGCTTAGAGATAATGATATAGATCTATAGTTTACAACCTGCCACCCCACAGGAGAGGATGGTGGTGCAGTAGGTGGTCTGCCAAGCGTCTTACTAGTCCAGGACTCATCTTGTCACACCCTGAGGCCCTACACGTGTCGGGGGTCTTAAGGAGGAGGTGCTCATCTTATCTCGACGTATTTAACACACCTGGTCAAGTTAGGAGAGGATGTCTCGGGTCGCTTGAAGCTTAGGTAGGGGGTGTGGTAGGGTAGGACAGGTCAGGTTAGGGGTAGTTAGGTAAGCTTAGGTTAGGGGTGTGGTAGGTTAGGTAAGGTTAGGGGTAGTTAGGTAAGCTTAGGTTAGGGGTGTGGTAGGGGTAAGGTAGGATATTAGGTTAGGTTAGGGGTGGGGGTTGTGAGGTAGGGCAGAGGCAGGTTAGGGGTAGTTAGGTAGCTTAGGTTAGGGGTGTGGTAGGGTAGGGCAGGTTAAGTTGAGGGTGTGGTAGGGTAGAACAGGATAGAAGTTAGGGGTAGTTAGGTAAGCAGGTTAGGGGTGTGGTAGAGGGTAAGTGTGGGTTAGGTAGGTTAGGTTAGGGGTGTGGTAGGGTAAAGCAGGTAAGGTTAGGGGTAGTTAGGTAGCTTAGGTTAGGGGTGTGGTAGGGTAGAACAGGTTAAGTTAGGGGTAGTTAGGTAGCTTGAGTTGGGGTGTAGGTAGGGTAGGACAGATCAGATAGGGGTAGTTAGGTAGCTTAGGTTGGGGTGTGGTAGGGTAGGACAGGTTAGGTTAGGGGTAGTTAGGTAATCTTAGGTTAGGGTGTGGTAGGGTGGGTTAGGTTGTGCGGTGAATTAAACTGGGGAGCGAACCGTCGGGTGATCCGCCGCTATTTTTAGGTAGAGGACACTAGTACTGTATCCTGCCTGTAAACAACCGTCACTAAGTAAGTCATCCTTCACTTGGCTGCAGGATGGACCGGTTCCATCCTCTGTGTTAAGCGGAGGATCGGTGTCCATTGTAGAGTGACCACGGCAGGATTTAACCAGTGACGACTAGATGTTGAAACAGACTCATTCACCGCTTTAAAATTCTCGTGGTGTTTGTTGACGGACGATGGCCGAGGAGGGAGGGTGGGACTCTCTTCTTAACATGCAGCAGCTAGTGTGTTACTCCACCACCTCGGCAGGATGCTTGCGTACGAAAAAACTTGTTCCATTATCGACAAGCACAACCGACAGTGTACTAATTTGATGAGTGTACTAGGGCTGGTGTACAGTGAACTATCCCAGTACCCAAGACCTCCAAGGTAAACAGTCTACCTTTATTAACCTAGGATACTGATCATAAGACCTTAGTTGTTAAGTACAGTAATACGTTACAACATCAACATAGATCTGTGGGTGTGTGTGTGTGTGTGTGGGTGGGTGTGTGTGTATCAGTATTCAACAGCAGTGGTCAACATGCCAGGCCACGCTCCGGTAGCCTCCTCACCCCACCACAGGCCCAAGTCAACGTTCCTCTGCCTCCCACCTCCATCATAATGATCATCGTCATCATCATATGTCACCAATCATCATCACCAATATCATACATCATTATTTTCACCATCATCATTATTATCAACTGCGACATACAGACAGCTGGGTCGACTGGGGGTGCCCCAATTAGTAGCTGGCCAGTCAGTGACCCACAGTCAACAGTGCCTCAACCAACAGTGCCTCAGTCAACAGTGCCTCAACCAACAGTGCCTCAGTCAACAGTGCCTCAACCAAAGTACCTCAACCAACCATACCTCAGCCAACAGTGCCTCAACCAACAGTGCCTCAGCCAACAGTGCCTCAACTAACAGCCTCAACCAAAAGTACCTCAACCAACCATGCCTCAGCCAACAGTGCCTCAACCAACAGTGCCTCAGTCAACAGTGCCTCAACCAAAAGTACCTCAACCAACCATACCTCAGCCAACAGTGCCTCAACAACAGTGCCTCAGTCAACAGTGCCTCAACCAACCATACCTCAGCCAACAGTGCCTCAACCAACAGCCTCAACCAAAAGTACCTCAACCAACAGTGCCCAACCAACAGTGCCTCACCAACAGCCTCAACCAAGTACCTCAACCAACCATGCCTCAGCCAACAGTGCCTCAACCAACAGTGCCTCAACCAACAGTGCCTCAGCAACAGTACCTCAACCAACCATACCTCAGCCAACAGTACCTCAACCAACAGTGCCTCAACCAACAGCCTCAACCAACAGTGCCTCAGCCAACAGTGCCTCAACCAACAGTGCCTCAGCAACAGTACCTCAACCAACCATGCCTCAGCCAACAGTGCCTCAACCAACAGTGCCTCAACCAACAGCCTCAACCAAAGTACCTCAACCAATCATGCCTCAGCCAACAGTGCCTCAGCCAACAGTGCCTCAACCAACCATGCTCCAACAGTGCCTCAGCCAACAGTGCCTCAACCAACAGCCTCACCAGTACCTCCCAACAGTGCCTCAACCAACAGTGCCTCAACCACATCCTGCCAACAGTGCCTCAACCAACAGCCTCAACCAAAGTACCTCAACCAACCATGCCTCAGCCACATGCCTCAACCAACAGTGCCTCAGCCAACAGTGCCTCAACCAACAGTGCCTCAACCAACAGCCTCAGCCAACAGTGCCTCAACCAGCAGCCTCACAAATACCTCAACCAACCATGCCTCAACCAACAGTGCCTCAGCCAACAGTGCCTCAACCAACAGTGCCTCAACCAACAGTGCCTCAGCCAACAGTGCCTCAACCAACAGCCTCAACCAAAAGTACCTCAACCAACCATGCCTCAGCCAACAGTGCCTCAACCAACCATGCCTCAACCAACAGTGCCTCAACCAACAGTGCCTCAACCAACAGTGCCTCAGCCAACAGCCTCAACCAACCATACCTCAGCCAACAGTGCCTCAACCAACAGTGCCTCAGTCAACAGTCCTCAACCAACCATACCTCAGCCAACAGTGCCTCAACCAACAGTGCCTCAACCAACAGTGCCTCAACCAACCATACCTCAGCCAAAGGACCTCAACCAACCATACCTCAGCCAAAAGTGCCTCAACCAACCCCTCAGCCAAAAGTACTCAACCAACCATACCTCAGCCAACAGTGCCTCAACCAACAGTCCTCAACCAACAGTACCTCAACCAACCATACCTCAGCCAAAAGTACCTCAACCAACCATACCTCAGCCAAAGTGCCTCAACCAACATACCTCAGCCAAAAGTACCTCAACCAACCATACCTCAGCCAACAGTGCCTCAGCCAACAGTGCCTCAACCAACCATACCTCAGCCAACAGTGCCTCAGCCAACAGTGCCTCAACCAACAGTGCCTCAACCAACAGTGCCTCAACCAACCATACCTCAGCCAACAGTGCCTCAGCCAACAGTGCCTCAACCAACCGCCTCAGCCAACAGTGCCTCAGCCAACAGTGCCACAGCCAACAGTGCCTCAACCAACCATACCTCAGCCAACAGTGCCTCAACCAACCATACCTCAGCTAACAGTGCCTCAGCCAACAGTGCCTCAACAACCATACCTCAGCCAACAGTCCCAGCCAACAGTGCCTCAAAACAGTCCTCAACCAACCATACCTCAAACACCTCGCAACAGTGCCTCAACAACCATACCTCAGCCAACAGTGCCTCAGCCAACAGTGCCACAGCCAACAGTGCCTCAACAACCATCCCCAACAGCTCAGCCAACACAGCCAACAGTGCCTCAACCAACCATACCTCAGCCAACATCCTGCCAACAGCCTCACCAAGCATACCTCAGCCAACAGTGCCTCAGCCAACAGTGCCACAGCCAACAGTGCCTCAAAACCCCTCAGCCAACAGTTCTCAGCCAACAGTGCCGCAACAGTGCCTCAACAACCATACCTCAGCCAACAGTGCCTCAACCCATACCTCAGCCAACAGTGCCTCAACCAACCATACCTCAGCCAACAGTGCCTCAACCAACCATACCTCAGCCAACAGTGCCTCAGCCAACAGTGCCACAGCCAACAGTGCCTCAACCAACCATACCTCAGCCAACAGTGCCTCAACCAACAGTGACACAGCAACAGTGCCTCAACCAACCATACCTCAGTCAACAGTGCCTCAACCAACCATACCTCAGCCAACAGTGCCTCAGCCAACAGTGCCTCAACCAACCACCTCAGCCAACAGTGCCTCAGCCAACAGTGCTCAACCAACCATACCTCAGCCAACAGTGCCTCAACCAACCATACCTCACCAACAGTGCCTCAGCCAACAGTGCCTCAACCAACCATACCTCAGCCAACAGTGCCTCAACCAACAGTGCCACAAATAATGATATAAGAGGCACTCACACAACAACAACAAAAGATTCACTGGTGTTAAAATCTACTTGGAAGGTAAAAGAGTTTTGTTTTGTTGTGTGTATGTGAGTGTAAACTAAACACCACATGTAGCCATACCCATATCACGAGCACCCACTACTCCACGAGCGTCCCGAATCCCCCTACCTTCCTGATCAATACAACATAATCGGCTCACATACAAACCACGCCAGGCAGGTGTGGCGTGACAAGTATACAGCATTATAATAATCTCCTCAAGAAGAAGAAGAAGAAGAGAGGAGGAAGAAGGAGGAGGAGGAGGAGGAGGAGGAGGAGGGAGGAGGAGGAGGAGGAGGAGGAGAAAAAAACACAACAGGAAAGGGAGAGGGAAAGAGAGAAGGTAGAGAGGAGGAGGAGGAGTAGTATGAAGAGGAGAAAGGAGAAGGTAGAGAGAGGAGGAGGAGGAGGAGTAGTAAGAGGAGAGAAAGAGGAAGGAAGAGGAGAGGACGAGGAGGTAGAACTTACTTGGTGTCCTGAGGCTGGTGGTCAGGAAACCTGCAATGATCCACCACCACCACCACCACCATCCTGCCACCCCCATCCACCCCCACCACCATCCTCCCCACCCAACCATCACCCCACCACCATCTCCTGCCACCCAATCCCCACACCACCACCACCATCTCCTGCACCCAATGATCCACCACCACCACCACCACCATCCTCCTGCCACCCAATGATCCACCACCACCACCACCACCATCCTCCTGCCACCCAATGATCACCACCACCACCACCACCATCCTCCTGCCACCCAATGATCCCACCACCACCACCACCACCACCACCCATCCTCCTGCCACCCAATGATCCACCCACCACCACCACCACCCACCACCACTACCACCACCCCTCCTGCCACCCAATGATCCACCACCACCACCACCACACCACCACCACCCTCCTGCCACCCAATGATCCACCACCACCACCACCACCACCACCATCCTCCTGCCACCCAATGATCGGCCCACCACCACCACCATCCTCCTGCCACCCAATGATTCCACCCACTACCACCACCATCCTCCTGCCACCCCAATGATCCCACCACCACCACCATCCTCCTGCCACCCAATGATCCACCAACCACCACCACCACCCTCCTGCCACCCAATGATCCACCCACCACCACCATCCTCCTGCACCCAATCATCCACCAACCACCACAACCACCATCCTCCTGCCAATGATCACCAACCACCACCACCACCATCCTCCTGCCATCAATGATCGGCCCACTACCACCACCATCCTCCTGCCACCCAATGATCGGCCCACTACCACCACCATCCTCCTGCCACCCAATCGGCCCACCACCACCACCATCCTCCTGCCACCCAATGATCGGCCCCACCACCACCATCCTCCTGCCACCCAATGGTCGGCCCACCACCACCACCATCCTCCTGCCACCCAATGATCCGCCCACTACCACCACCATCCGGCCGCCCACCTGCCAACCAATGATCCGCCCATACCACCCCCTCCAGTCGCCCACCACCACCACCCTCCGACCATCAACCTGCCACCAGCACCCCCTCCACCAACCACCCAGCGACCGGACGCCCTCAGCCGCCCACCCACGGACCTCCAGGGGCTCTTTGATACCTGGAACCTGAACCAGACCAACCCCTAACTAACCTAATTTAACCCACCGTTAATCCCCTAACCTAACCGCCCCTAAACCCCTGACCTAATTCACCCCTAAAACCTAACCTACCCCTAACAACCGAACTCGCGTCTTTCACCTATAAAAATCAGGTCGTTTCGGATACGGCTTCAATATCACATTAGCCGCCCCCTAACCCGGCCCTTAACTTCAAACACGCCGGCGGTCCTGACGGAGGCATGAACCATCTGAGGCCGGAGTAATGTATCCATTTGAGGTCGTAGTTATGTACCATTTGAGGTCGTAGTTATGTACCATTTGAGGTCGTAGTTATGAATCATCAGGGTTATGAACCATCTGAAGTCTTACTTATTAACCATCTGAGGTCGTAGTTATGAACCATCTGAAGTCGTACTTATTAACCATCTGAGGTCGTAGTTATGAACCATCTGAAGTCGTACTTATTAACCATATGAGGTCGTAGTTATGAACCATCTGAGGTCGTAGTTATTAACCATCTGAAGTCGTACTTATTAACCATATGAGGTCGTAGTTATGTACCATTTGAGGTCGTAGTTATTTAAAAATAATAATTATACAAAGACAAATAATAAACCAAAATAAAACAAAGAACGAAATATACATCACAATAAACCAGAAAGAAAAAAAACAAGGACAACAAACAATCAAACAAAAATAAAACCAAAACAAACAACCCCCTCAAAAAACAACAATAAAACAAAGAAACAAATAACCTAAACCACAATAAGATAAAAACATACCAAACATTATAAACCCAAAATTAAAACACTAAACCCAGTCATTAAACCTAACCTAACCGCCTAACCACAACCCCCAACCCCTTCACCTGACCTCATACAGACCCCCACTCCTCTTTCCAGCAGTACTAACGACCCTCTCCACCTCCCTATACTGCTCCAATCACCCCATTCAACCCTCTAACGACACGACTCTTAATCACCTGCCTATCTTTCTTTTCATGAATTGGCAAATATTCATATGATAGACTAGTATTTTTATTATGCTAGTTTAAGGGAGTATAATGGTTAGTGAATAAGTGTCTTTCTGATTGTCTGTCTGTCTGTGTCTTTCTGATTGTCTGTCTCTCTGTCTGTCTGTCTTTCTGATTGTCTATCTGTCTGTCTGTCTGTCTATTTATTTGTACATCTATATATCTCTTAGTTTCTATGTATGTATGTATGTATGTATGTATGTATGTATGTATGTATGTACCTACCTCCCCTACATACCACACCAACATCACCATTCATCACATCACCACTACGCCATCATCACTACCACGCCATCATCATCACCACCACCACCACACCACATCAACATACCACACCAGATCAACATACCACACCACTACCATACACCAACCACACCACTACCCTACACCACCATACCACCACCATACCACTACCATACCACTATACCACATCGCCATCAACACACCAACCACACTACTACCCTACGCCATACCACCACCATACCACTACCATACCACTATACCACATCGCCATCAACACACCAACCACACTACTACCATACACCGCCATACCACCACACTACCATGCCACAATCCAAGGCATCATGGTACCATACTCGCCAGGAGGGAGGCGCCACCTATGAGATATGAACACTCAACGTCATCGGGGAAAAAAAAAGACCCACATGATTCTCAAGCAACTGAAATCGGAAAGCAAAATCGGATGGGAAAATCGGGTCGGGGCAGTCAAGATTCCAACGAGAAATGACAAGGTTTATGTGTTACGTGCGGTGCTGTGGGGTGATTGAGGCGAGGTTGAGCGGGAAGGAGAGGGGTTGAGGCAGGGTGGATGGGGAGTGGAGGGGTGGAGGGCTGGAGGGTGGAGGGTGAGGAGGGTGGAGGCGGGGGTTCAGTGGAGGGTGAAGGAATAGGTGATGGTGAAAGGCGGAGGGTGGGGGTGATGGAGGAGAGAGTGTGTAAGGGATGAAGAGATGAGTGAGAGGAGGTGAATGGAAAACAGAGAGGATATGGATGAGAGAGAGAGAGGGAGAGAGAGAGAGGTGGGAGGGAAGGAGGGAGGTGGGAGGGAAGGAGGGAGGTGGGAGGGAAGGAGGGAGGAAGGTGGGAGGTAAGGAGGGAGGTGGGAAGGGGGAAACAAGAATGAGAGAGATCTTAATCTAGAGCACGGTGACCAAGGTGACGCTACCACCATTCTCACTACCACCATCATCACTCTCACCACCACCACTATGATCACTCTCACCACCACTATGATCACTCTCACCACCACTATGATCACTCTCACTACCACTATCACCACCACCATCATCACTATCACCACTACCACTACCTCCATCCCTAGTGTTAGCAGAACAGGTAAGCTGAGTGAGGTCTGGGAGTGAGGGTCACGCTGAATAAAACCCTTCTCACGAGTGTCCGGGCCAAGCAGGACTCGAACCCTTGACATACTGTTGAGAGATACGCACGTTACCACTCTACCACCAACGTAATTAACTCCTATTTTGAGTACCTAACCTAACCTAACCCACCATAAACATCACTATACATTATTACTAACACCATCACTACTACCACCATCACTACTACCACCACCATTACTACCACCATCACCACTACCACCATCACTACTACAACCACTACCACCATCACTATTACAACCACCACCACTACCACCATCACTACTACAACCACTACCACACCACTACCACCGTCACTACCACTACCACCACACAGGGCGGTCTGGTGTGGTGCTGGCGGGTAATTACTGAAGGCCCGGGCATTAGTAGAGGGAGTGGGGAGCTGAATGTATTGTGGGGAGGAGGAGGAAATGGGGAGGAGGTGCAGGAGGAGGAGGAGGAGGCAGCGTGTGGGGGGGAGGAGGTAAGGTGCAGCGGAGGAGGAGGCAGCGGTGTGGGGAGGGGGAGGAAGGGCAGCGGAGGAGGAGGCAGCGGTGTGGGGGGAGGGGGGAGGGAGGGGGAGGAGGAGGGTGTGGGGAGGAGGAGGAGGCAGGGGTGTGGGAGGAGGGAAGCAAGGGGTGGGAGGAGAGGAGGAGGCATGGGAGGAGGAGGCGGCGGCAACAGTGAGGGTGGAGGAAACAGCGGTAAGGGAGGAGGAAAAATAAAACCGCATTCACCTTCACTTAACAGCTCCCATCTTGCCAGACAATCTTCACGATACAAAACTGACTAGGGTTAGGTTAGGTTAGGGTTGTTAGGGGTAGGGTTGGTTAGGTAGGGTGGGGGTAGGGCTGCATGGTTGGGTTAGGTTGTGTTGGGTTGTTAGGTAGGGTTGGGTTAGGGGTTGGG